TTGCTTAAGAGCCACATACATTTCCAGTTGATAGGTGTATACCTTTCACCTCGATCCACACTCTGAGGTAGTCGATCGAGTCTGATGGCCTCGATCCACTCCCTGAGGTAGTGGATCGAGTTCATCAAACTCGATCAACTGCGTTGAAATTTCCAATAGCCTTAATTTTGTGCTCGGTTATCCGATCGGAGTGAAACTTTTTTTGATTCCGCATAACTTTTTGTGGACTACAACGTTTTTAATAGAAATATTTTCAGAATATATGCGGAAATGTGAAAAGTAAAGCTAACCTTATTCTCAAAACCTCTTAATTATATCCAAAAAGATTTCCTATTTTGAAAATTTCATCCTAGTAAAGTTGTAGGACTAAAATTTTATGCAAAATAAATAAAAAAAACATGTGAATATCGGATTACGGAGCACAAAGTTATGATCGTCCAAAGTTTGGCAAAAATTGAAAAATTGGTCGTTTAGAGTAGCAAAGGACATTTTTTTCCGATTTTTTCAAACTTTAAACGATCATAACTTTGTGCTCCATGATCCGATTGCACTGAATTTTTTTATTTTGCTTAAATGTTTGAATACTACAACTTTTACTAGGAAGAAATTTTCAAAATAGAAAATCTTTTTGGATATAATGGGTTTTGAGAATAAGGATAGCTTGACTTTTCACATTTACGCATACATTCTGTAAATATTTCTATTTAAAAAGTTGAAGTCCTTAAAAAGTTACGCGGAATAAAAAAAAATCACTCTGATTGGATAACCAAGCACAAAATTAAGGCTATTGGAAATTTCAATGCAGTGGATCGAGTTTGATTCACTGCCTCAAGGAGTAGATCGAGGCCATCAGACTCAATCCACTACCTCGGAAAGTGGATCGAGGTTCTCTAGCTCGATCCCACTAGTGGTTCGAGTCTATTGAACTCGAACCACTCCAAAGTTAGGTATTTTGGGAAAATTTTTTATAAGTCTTGTATTTTAGAATTTTTTGTGATTATTGTTGTATTTGGGGAAAAAGTCCTCTTCTTTCTCTGTCACTCCTTGTAACTCGTTCTGATTGTATAGTGGCCAGATTTCTCCTTTCCCCAACATCTTACGTATGGTTTTGGTGCCTTGTTATTGGAATTTGCTTGATAAGGTCATTAAAATGCAGCTCAAGTACATCTTTTACTATGATCATAATAGACTTTCAACATTGTTTTCATTTATAAGAATACTCAAATATCAGGGCACAGGGCTTGGAGTGGTGATTAGGAACCGAGACGGAAAGTTCTGCTTAGCGGTGTACAAGGTGGAAATGGGAGCCAGAAGTTGTGGAAGCTCTAGCGATAAGTTATGGCTTGAAAATGGCGTCCAGATTTCACTACTTACCTGAAGAAATCGAATCAGATTGCCAAGAGATAAACGAAGCAACCCAAAGTCTGGATTGGGTCACCTTCAATTTTTCAGGTCGGAACACAAACTGGGCGACCCATCTGATGACACAGATGTCCTATAATTGGAAGGAAGAGGAACTTTGGGTAGACAAACCGGCTTAGGATAGGGTCAGTAACCATTGGTATTGACCTATGAGTGACTAAATCTGGACCTTTAGATCTAAGTAGGCCCAGAAAATTCAGATCTAAGGATTGTCAATTAAAGGCTTTTTATTTTCCCTAGTTTTCATAATCAGCTCTTATCTTCTTCGTTCTAACTCGGATTTTTTTTTTTTGCACACATGGAACGAGTTCGTTGTGCTCTACAAAATGAGATCAATTTTCAATATATTTCGAGAAACTTTTTTTTTACCAACTACATACCATATGGTAACTTCTTTGTTTTTAAGTCATTTTTTAAAACGTTTGCTCAGAAGGAACTAGTTCATCATGATCTATTGGATCTACAAATTTCTGGGTGAAAAAAATACTGGACCAAAAATTACCATACTTTACCACTATGGTATGTGGGTGGTAACTTGTGGTAAACAATGATGAAAGTCGTAAATAACAGTTAGTATACTCCTAATATCATGTATTCAACCTTCTTACCATATTGGTATGTTCATACCATCATGGTACGCTTTCTTACCATATGGTATTAACTATGAGCATACCATATGGTAATGACTGGTAAAAAATTATTCAATTTTTTTTACTAAAACATATCAAAGTGTATATCATTTTAAAGAGCACATTTAATCTGATTTATCTATGCAAAAAAAATTAAATTTTGACTTAAAACGAGAGAGAAATCATCCGTTAAAGATTAAAGGAGAAAAGATAAAAGACTTTCCAGGAGAGAGAGATAGTGATGTCATGCTGATATGGACGGGTTACTCATGATTACTGACCATAAGGTTACTGACATGATCCGTTCCCAGATAAACCACATAATTTTTAACGTCTATCCACGATAGTTTTTTTTTTCAAACACCTAAATAAAATAATACAGTTTATTCATTAAAAAACATAAGCGAAATTGTCTTAAAATACAGAATACACATATTGGTAATAAAATATATCAAATATGACTTATAATAAGGTAGTAAAGCAGTTAGCCATCGACATCTATCTACAAGTATATGTGATATTACCCAATGTAAAATGTTTTTACCGCACTAGTTCACCATCTGCTCAAATAGTGCATTATTGCACCTGAGCCGACAATCGTGCTCAGACCACGACTCTCTCCATTGAAGTATAGGGTCAGGTCTGTCCAGCTCCAATCAGTACACAATTTTGCCATGGCCCGTCAACACTAAATCATACAGTGTCTCACGATTGCCCCCAGTTGAGGGTTCCTCCCTCCGAGCCTAGCTCTCCCCGATACATTATCTCGTCCAGTTCCTGGCGCCCGGGCCCGTTATCGTTCCTGGACCCCAACTCCCGGGCTCCACCCTCCTCTCGGCACCCGGAACCACCATTTCCCCGGCTCCCAGCAGTGGGCCTTCACCTCTCTTCCTATTCCTAGCGCCCGGGACCGTTATCATTCCCGGCTCCCGAGCTTCGCCCTCCTCCCGGAACCCAGGCCCACCATTGCCCCGGCTCCCGGCGATGGGTCTTCATCTCTGGTCCAGTTCCCGGCGCCCGGGCCTGTTATCGTTACCAGACCTCGGCTCCCGGGCTCCGCCCTCCTCCCAGCACCCGAGCCCACCATTGTCCCGGCTCCCTGCGGCAGGCCTTCACCTCTCGTCCGGTTCCCGGAGCCCGGAGTCGCTATCGTTCCCAGACCCCGGCTCTCGGACTACGCCCTCCTCCCGGCACCCGGGCCCACCATTGCCCTGGCTCCCGGCGGCGAGTCTTCACCTCTCGTCCGGTTCCTGGCGCCCGGGCCCGTTATCGTTTCCGTACCCCGGCTCCGCCCTCCTCCCGGCACCCGGGACCACTATTTCCCCGACTCCCAGCGGCTGGTCTTCACTTCTCATTCGGATCCAGGCGCCCGAGCCCGTTATTGCTCCCGGTCCCTTGCGCCAGGCCCGTTATTGCCCCGGCGCCGGGCCTTCGCCTCTCGTCTGGTTCTCAGCGCCCTGGCTCGATATTGTTCCCGGGCTCCGCCTGCCTCATGGCGTACGGGCTTGCCATTGTTCCGATGCCGGGTCTTCTTCTCTCGGTTGGTTCTCGGCCCCCGGGCGACTATCGCTCTCGGGCTTCGCCCTCCTCCTGACGCTCGGGCCCGCTGTCGCCCCCTGCTACCAGTACTCGGATCCGCATCTATTCTCCCCACTTGGATCCATTGCATGTACTTCTACCTGCACATGTGTGATAAGCCGTTAATTGCACATGTTTTTACCACTATTCTGGAGCCGTTTGGGATGGTAATTCTCGTGTTTTAGGCCGATTTCACGCTAGGTTGTGTTTGTTTGTGATATTTCAGGTCCTAGCAAGTGAATGAAGGTTTAGGAGCGAGTTCGGGGTCGATTGGACAAAGATCGGGCGCGAGGCAAGTCAAAAAGGAAGCCACACCGGCACACCCACAACTCACACGGCCGTGCAAGTGACCACTTTGGCCGTGTGAGATTGTGCGAGCCTTCACAAGGCTTGCCCTGATATCCACACGGCCGTGTGAAGGAGTGGTTTGGCCGTGTGGAATTATGCGAGGCTTCACACGGCCAGGCAGGGTGATCCACACGGCCGTGTGACCCTGGCCGTGTAGGAAGCCTGAAGTGCAACTAATCGGGACGCAGCGTTTTGAAGTCACACGGGCAACTGGGTATGCTACACGGCCGTGTGGCCCTGCCCGTGTGAGTCGGGAATTGCTGGTTAAAACCCGATTTTCAGGAAAAGGAGAGGGGAGAGCTGGGTTTTGGATCCCAAACACCCAAGGGACGAACCCTAGAGAGAGAGCGACTTGGGAACATTCTTGGAGCACTTTTGGAGGATTTCTTCGCCATTGGAGCTCGGGAATCAAGCTTGGAGATGGAGATTGAAGATCTAGATCAGATTTCTGCAGTCTCTCTCTTCTCTATGGAGTAACTTCCCTTCACTTAGGTTTTGAGGAACCCTAGTTCCATGAGTTAGGATCTTTCTTGTATGAAGTTTTGGATGCTATATTGTTTGATTATAATCGAATGATGCATGTTTATTTAGTCAATTGAAGTCTGATCAACTTTTCTTGATTTCTGCTGCAACCTGAGATAGATAGAATCTGATTAGGTTGTTAGAGCCTCATCATTCGGTAGTAGGAGATTGGCTATACGAGAGTTAGCCAGTTTACTGCTTTGTACTGGAATCCAATTCCAGTAGTGGAGTTCTGTGCTTATTGCTTCAGCTTTCTATCCCGGTGAAGACTAGTCGTCTGCCGGATAGTTAGACTGAGAGGGCTTGGTCAGCTTAACAGATTCCAAACTACTGTCAGATCTTCCGCAGTTAATCAACAGTAAAACAACCAAAAGGAATTACAACTTGGACCTAATTGAGGAGCTAGGGGGAATCATACCTAAGTGAGTTCACAACTTGTAATTAGTAGAGTAGTCAGTAGAGTAGTTTATAAATCAATCCTTAATCTAGTTTGCTTGATAATGAACTGAAGCTGAGTAATAGTAATTCTAGAGACCCGTGGAATCGATATTTATTACTTGGGCCACTATACTGCAGTCCCTTTCATTGGTTACACTTGGCCATTGTTAGGTGTTTTGTTTTAGCGTGTCAAGTTTTTGGCGCCGTTGCCGGGTACTTTCTAGATTATTAGGAAAGGCAGAAGTTTGTTACTTTAGCGTTTTTCTTTTCTTTTCCACCCTTCCTTTTTACTTGGGTGTTTTTTGTTTTGTTGGTGCAGATCTGAATCATGGATCCTCATGGCTTCTCCAACCATTGGGGGTATCCACCACCATCCGGGTGGTATTACCCCGAGACTCCCTACAGCAATCAAGGAGGAGAAGACTATGGATTCCGGTTCCAGTACCAACCCTCTTACTACGGAGAACAATCAGACCTCTGGGCATATCAAGAACAACCTCATTACCAAGAAGACTTTCTCCCACAACCAGAACGGCCATCGGAGCTGGAGTTACCCATGGCGGCCTTCACGGGCCACTCTGCAGAGCCATGCTACACTTCACTGGAAGATCCGAACAAACAATTAAGGCCTCTCGTGGAGCAGTTTGCTCGAGACACTGAGAGATCCTGCTCCAAGATGGATCTTCAAATCAAAGCCCTTGCCCCTTCAAATCCCTCATTTCTCCATGATATGGAGGAGACTGTTCAGCGCTCAGCGAAGCAAACAGAGTGGGTGCAGCAAGTTTGCTCACATCTTGCTCAAGATCACCTTTATGCTACCACGCTAGAAGAGGTGGAGGATGACAAAGGCTACGGGGATGTTGAGGAGCATATAGAAGTTATCACAGAGAACTCCCATGATAATCATGATCAGGAAAGTCCTCTAGTTGCATATCACACATTTCCTTATTTCTGCTCTAACATGCTGGGCCCGAGCGAGGAGATGCAAGATGATCTCATTGAAGAAATTACATGGCGACTTGCTCTCCAATATGTGCTAGAAGAAGAAGAGCAAGAAAGGGTGCAGAAAGAAGTTGTGGAGGATGACGAAAGTGAAGCAGGAGGAGTTCTTGATCATTTCCCAAGGGTGATACCACATGAAAAAGAAAGGGGGGTTGAAGAAGCAATTGGCGTCCAGGCTGAGGACGGAGTTAAGGTGGAAGAGGCCTGCACCAGCCATGAGTTGCAAGTAATATCCCCACCAAACTTTGAGGAACTGCTTAGCAAGGACCCATTTGCAGTGTCTCTTTGCCAGACTAAGGCCACATCAACATCGGTCCCTCTTGGTGGACGCGATGGTGGCCAATCGATGCTGTCATATCTGGTTTGAGGCAATGAGACGAGAGAAGAGAAGAAGAGGTCTCGAGGGTGGAGACTTCATCTGCATCAAGTACATGAGCCTTCATCACCTGCCACACCACATGCTTGTGACTTGAGACTCCACCTCATCGACGAGAACCTCAACTTCAAGGAGGTTCTAGCATGGACCGAAACTTAGGAGCCATCGTGCGGCTCATGACGTGAAAGAAGCGCTTGTTGGGAGGCAACCCAACCAGTCAGTTTGCATTTCTTTCTCTATTTCTCCTAGGTTGAGTCAGTTTTGTTATTTGATTTTAGAGTCAATAACTCAACCTTTGTGAGATTTTGTGTGGTGTTTGTGTTCTGATTACTCTCTCTTTCTGGAATGCACCGCCTGACCCGTTCATCATCATTCACCCTTGATCTGGTAACTTCGTTCTACCCTCCTTGTCTTTCCTCCATTGAGGACAATGTCGTGCTTAAGTGTGGGGGGGTGTTCGATTATTTATGCGGGTGAATGTTTGGCTGTTTGTGTGCTTGGAGCCTAGTCCACTGTCCAAATCTCGAGATTTGAGGGCTCCAAGTACGGCTGTTTGATCATATTGGCACTGTGTTTGATTGGTGAATTGAATGGTTTTCGGATTAATGCATGACAACTAGATGGTGATTAGGACAACCTATAATGATGACTGAGACGTGCAGTAGAATTGTGTAGGGTTCAGTTTTTCAACTGTTTGCTTACCAACTGTGACTTGGATTGATTACTTGTTTTTGACAGTCTCTTATGCATCTAGTTCAGGGAATCAGAATGAGAGATAGAGCATATAGGTAGCCATGTGAGATTTGAGCCTGCTCGTTTCTTTCTTGTGTGATAGTTCCCTCTTCCATGATGTGCAGCATTCACGTTGTCATTAGCTAAGATGATGGAGGCATAGGATTAGCCCACGACCAAATTGACTGTCCTGGTGTGTCATACCCCCTAGTCAGCCCCTTTGAGCCGTGAGTTATCCTTTCTTTCGGTCTTCAATGAAAATTCACCCTTTTGCATCTTTTAGAAAGTTCCACAAAGTGATTTTTACATGTTCTCTGCTGTTTCTGCTAAATGTAATGTGAGAGTTGGAGGTAGTTCTTAAAAAGTTGGGCAGGCGTTTAAAAATATGCAGAGGTGGTGGTTCTCTTAAGAAATGAAAAAATGAAAGAAAAACAAAGAAAAAATGAAAGCAAAAGTGAGCCACCACCAAAAATCTGAATAGTGCCCATTAAGTAGTGCTTCTTAGCAGTCTGGCTTAGAAGTACTGGTATTTATGTGACCTCCTTCGCTCTTGTGCTCTGAATTTGAGTAATGCAGAATAGCAGAAAGAAAGTACTGGTTTGATTGACTGTGAGTTTGTTGGGTTTGGAATTGTGGAACCTTGTGCTATGAATACTTCCACCACCTAAAAGGCCTTTTCCCCATGTCCAAGACCCTAGCCAGTCATTTGAACCTGTGTCTGAGACCTCCTGATGAGTTAGTGATGACAACCATTTATGTGAACTCTAACCTTTAGAGGTTGCCGTCATGGTGAAGAGATGTTAGGAATTGAAAGAAATAGTATGCGCATTTTTCGCATCAAATTGTCCTGACCCCACTGGTCGAGAGTGAGCGGTTCATTTCCTTTTTCTTTACACTCTTTACCCGGTGAGGACCTAGATGGCTCGGTCTTGATTCTGATTTCTTGAGTTTTATGCAAGAGTTGACTGTCTTGAGCAAGTGGTTGAGTAAAGTCTAGGTTGGTTAATGAACAGAAGGGAGACTCCTCATTTACTCGATTTTGCTGCACTCGAATGTCTTCTGTGGTGGTTGTCCAGGTTGCTATTAAGGTTGTTCATGTGTTGATGTTTGGAAACCTTTATGATTCACGTGTTCTGTGCCTATATGACTTGTCCCCAATGTTGGTATGATTGAAATATGTGAGCTTACCTTGTGTCTGACTTGGTTTGCTTGGGGACAAGCAAACGGTTAAGTGTGGGGGAGTTTGATAAGCCGTTAATTGCACATGTTTTTACCCCTATTCTGGAGCCGTCTGGGATGGTAATTCTCGTGTTTTAGGCCGATTTCACGCTAGGTTGTGTTTGTTTGTGATATTTCAGGTCCTAGCAAGTGAATGAAGGTTTAGGAGCGAGTTCGGGGTCGATTGGACGAAGATCGGGCGAGAGGCAAGTCGAAAAGGAAGCCACACCAGCACACCCACAACTCACACGGCCGTGCAAGTGACCACTTTGGCCGTGTGAGATTGTGCGAGCCTTCACACAGCTTGCCTTGATATCCACACGGCCGTGTGAAGGAGTGGTTTGGCCGTGTGGAATTATGCGAGGCTTCACACGGCCAGGCAGGGTGATCCACACGGCCGTGTGACCCTGGCCGTGTATGAAGCCTGAAGTGCAACTAATCGGGACGCAGCGTTTTGAAGTCACACGGGCAACTGGGTATGCTACACGGCCGTGTGGCCCTGCCCGTATGAGTCGGGAATTGCTGGTTAAAACCCGATTTTCAGGAAAAGGAGAGGGGAGAGCTGAGTTTTGGATCCCAAACACCCAAGGGACGAACCCTAGAGAGAGAGAGAGCGACTTGGGAACATTCTTGGAGCTATTTTGGAGGATTTCTTCGCCATTGGAGCTCGGGAATCAAGCTTGGAGATGGAGATTGAAGATCTAGATCAGATTTCTGCAGTCTCTCTCTTCTCTATGGAGTAACTTCCCTTCACTTAGGTTTTGAGGAACCCTAGTTCCATGAGTTAGGATCTTTCTTGTATGAAGTTTTGGATGCTATATTGTTTGATTATAATCGAATGATGCATGTTTATTGAGTCAATTGAAGTCTGATCAACTTTTCCTGATTTCTGCTGCAACCTGAGATAGATAGAATCTGATTAGGCTGTTAGAGCCTCATCATTTGGTAGTAGGAGATTGGCTATACGAGAGTTAGCCAGTTTACTACTTTGTACTGGAATCCAATTCCAGTAGTGGAGTTCTGTGCTTATTGCTTCAGCTTTCTATCCCGGTGAAGACTAGTCGTCTGCCGTATAGTTAGACTAAGAGGGCTTGGTCAGCTTAAGAGATTCCAAGCTACTGTCGGATCTTCCGCAGTTTAATCAACAGTAAAACAACCAAAAGGAATTACAACTTGGACCTAATTGAGGAGCTAGGGGGAATCATACCTAAGTGAGTTCACAACTTGTAATTAGTAGAGTAGTCAGTAGAGTAGTTTATAAATCAATCCTTAATCTAGTTTGCTAGATAATGAACTGAAGCTGAGTAATAGTAATTCTAGAGACCCGTGGAATCGATATTTATTACTTGGGCCACTATACTGCAGTCCCTTTCATTGGTTACACTTGGCCATTGTTAGGTGTTTTGTTTTAGCGTGTTAATGTGTCATACCCTCTACTCAATTAGTTTGCATGTGGCAAGAGTGTTCCCCTTAGGCAAAAACATGGTTGACATGTGTACAACCATGTGGCGGGCACAGATAGGCCAAGACGACACATGTCCAGTGACGTGTCCTTCCTTCATATCCGGGGCCGACACCTGTCCTCCCGTTGTCCCCCCAGGTAGTTAATATATAACTAGCTCATGCTCTCTAGTGAAAGGTAAGGCAAGAGACCGGGGGAACTACCCGGAGAGCGCCCAATGGAATCAGTGACTCTCACACCCCGAGCTCACCTCCTGCAAACACCTTGTAAACTACTCAATCCCCCACATTAGGGACTAACTTGAGCGTCGGAGGGTGCCCCCGCCGATATCGACCGACGGGCCCTTTTTTGCAGGAAGCGATCGGAGGCAACGTCACGAAATAAGGTTACTATAAATGGGCACTTCAAATCGCTTCGGGGCCCAAGATTGAGGAAGTCGACGTCGGCCACAACCCCGACATCAACAATACGAATAGCTGGATATTGTAACTTTCACTCTCATTCAAATTTTGCTGAATCCGGAGTGATTTTTGGAGCGGCATTTTAGGGAGAGAAGGGCAAAATATTATAATGTGTTTAGTGGGCGGCCTGCTCAAATGCGCTGTGAATTGGGCTTTTGGCCTAGCAAAGGGAAATGCCTCCGGCGTTGAGAAAGATGGAGAGCTATGAGTATTTGCCACTGCTTTGCCGACTTCCAACCGTCTGCTAACCCTAGGAATGGCAATGGGGCAGGTCGACCCAATGGGTATGCAATTTATATGAAAAACATTAGAAATATTCATTATTTTTATTATAAGACCAAGAAAATAAACAATATGATGATAAATGTAATTTAATTATTATAGAAATTGAGGTTTTCAGTAATTTACAAGTTTATTATAGCTAAAATATGATGTAATAAAAGGAAAATCATAAGTAATTTGACTAAGGCTACATGTAATTTAGGCAAAAGAATGGGGCGGGTCAGGGCAGGTCAGGTCGATGAGAGTACCCATGTCCGCCCCGCCCACTCAAAATAGGCCAAACAGGTCGGGTAAAACGGGTCAGATTGAAATTGCAATCCCTAGCTAACCCATCCTTTTCCCGTTGGAGATATTGTGAACTTTTGTATAGCGTTATAGTCTGCAGAGGCATCACAAATTTCTTGCGTGGACCTCCTCTACGTCTACTGCAGGGATGGAGCCATGGTGGGGGGGGGGGGCAGTAAAAATTTTTTAGAAGTAATTTAATATTAAGAACCTATAATTTGTTTGATTTTAATTTTATCTTCATTCTTTCGCTACAAAAAAGTCACACAGTTTTGACGAAAACCTTTTAATGACAGTAAAAATGCGTCAGAAAAAGTGTTTTTTACAACAAAAAAATTTTCTCGTCAGTATTGTTAACATTATTACTGGAAAAAAATACATCGTCAGAAATGATACGATTTTCCATCAGTAAAGATCAATTTTTGAGATTCAAGCTTCAAACTTTAATTATTTATGACGAATTTTTTTGTTGCCTTAGAAATAGTGCATACTATTGACAAGTTATTTTTCGGTCGTCGAAATAGGTCAATATTAATGAAGAAAATTATTTTTTTCGTTAGAAAAAATTACTATTTCTGACAGTTAAAACGTCTTCATCGGGACTTTTTTTTGTTTTGACAAGCTCTCACAGACGTCGAAATTGAATTGTCGGAAAAATTTATATTTCCGAGGCAGCAAAAACAATCGTCAGAAATAGTCAATTTGTATTGACAACAACCCATGTTCGTCGTTAATAATCTATAAGAGAAAATATTATTACTGACAAGGCTAAAAATGTCGTCGAAAATAATGTGCTAACTCGTTAGGAAAAAATGAGACCGGTTATAGAAAAAATCACACTTCTGACAAAGCCAAAAAATCGTCAGATATAGTACGTTTTAGTGACAAAGCCCTATGTCTGGCGGTTATAATCAATTAGAAATCATGTTATTACTGACAAGGTGAAAAAAGCCACTGGAAATAATGTTCTTACTTGTCAGGAAAAAATGAGAACGCTTACACCGTAAATTAATTTAACCTGTTCGGACGATATGAAGAACAATTGCTTGTAGAATTAATCATTGGTTGATAATGCAATTTTAGAACACAATAAAAGTTTGTAATGAGATAATTTAACCTGTTCAGACGATATAAAGAACATTTGCATGTAGAATTAATTATCTTCTTGGTAGGCTTCTTCTTCATTGGAAGGCATTTGAAACAAATTTCTTGGCCTTGTTTCGACCATGGTTTCCCAATCAAGATCTCTAAGTACTGCACATAGTAAACTAGAATTGGTTGACTGGCCTGAAGGAAGGGCCCATCAGTTCTAAGCTTATGTTTTGTGTTGATAGTAACAATGTCGTGCATATCCTTCTTGTAACCAACACCTTCTCGAGCTCTGTCATACCACTCGCATTGAAATAACACAACTCGAAGTCCTTCAATATAACCAAACTCAATGATATCAATGAGAACGCCATAGTAAGGATTCCACCATAATTGTCCACCCTCACAAAGATACCACTGTTATGCCTTCTTTTTGACCCATCCCTAAGTTGACCCGACCATACCCAACCCTTATAGGGTCAAAAGTTGACACATGACTAAACTGACCATATAGACAAATTGACCAGTCTTGACCCTCAAGAACGTGACGGGTCGGGACGAATCAGTGAGTTTTTACTTTATAGCATCCAGATGTGTTGTCCTAGTCACTCCATGAACTGACTCACAACCTGCACAACATATGAAATGTCTGGTCGGGTGTGAGTTAGATAGATTAGACTACCCACCACACTCTGATGGAAAGATTGATCTTCTAACAACCCTCCATCATCTTTACTCAACTTCAAGTTCTGTTCCAAGGGTGTGGAACACAGCCTGCAATCCTCATGTTGTGTTGAGGCTATCAAGTCAGAAATTTACTTCTTCTGACAAACAAGCAATCCCTGCACTGTGCGCCGAACCTCCAAACCCAGAAAATAAGAAACCTCCCATAGTTCTTTGAGTTTGAACGCTTGGTGAAGAGTACTCGTGAGCTCTTGTATTCTTTCCTCATCGTCTCCAGTAACGATCATGTTGTATACACAGAGAAGAAGAGCAATGATTCCATGGACAGTTCGTCACATGAATAACAAAGGGTCACTGTGACTCTGTTGAAAACCAGCCTGCATAATGGTTCTGTAAAAATTTTTGAACCAAGCTCGAGGAGCTTGTTTCAATCCATAGAGAGATCTAAACAACTTACATACCATGTTAGGTCATGCTTGCTTATATCCTGGTGACTATTCCTGAATATCACAACCAATTCCCGCCTAAGGTCCAAGTATAAACCTTAGTCGGGTGCAATACAGGGCAAGTATGTTTAAATATCGACTCGGGCCGGTCTGTGTACCCCTACTTCAGTCATTTGAATCATTATCTAGCGAATCGGTTTTGGTTGAAATTTTTGCTAATTAAAGTAAAGCAAGGCAAAAGTAAATGGTTTTTAAAGTTCTTTTGAGAAGGATCACTTGGATGTCGCTTCCCCCTAACTACTACCATGCTATGTCAATCGAAGTGATTGTTATGGTCAAGGTGACCTTGAACCGCTAGGGGACGCAAATATGGTGTAGACCACACTCTCGATTGCCAAACCGAGAGATACATTATAGGCTATTCAAGAGGCCCTCTTGGTTTAGGCAATCGATGGTTGACTTACTCCCTCACTCAACCCAATGATTGGTCGGCTTAATCGCGCTAAACCAAATTGCTTAATTCAACATAGAGGTTTTCCTTAAATTAACCTAGATAGGTGGCTTGAAAAGACATAGGAATCCCAAATCAATTGAGCCTCCCTTGAAATAGGGTTTTCCCTCTCTAATCTAGGTTAGAATGGCCAATTAGATTGCTAAGCACAAACATGCACAATCAAAATGAATAATACCTCAATCATTAAATCAAACAACACCCATAAACAATCATTCAATTTACATAACAATAACTACATGGTAAATAGTTAGGTGAGAAGCACAAGAGGAACTACTCCATGCTAGAAAGGTGAGAAGCACAAGAGGAAGAGGTAGAAACCAACATGGAGATGCTTCCAATCTTCTTTGAGCTTGTGTTGAACTTCTCTAGGGGAGAATCTTCCCAATTCACCACTTGGAGCAAACCCTAGCCTTCTTTCTCCCTTAGTTCGTTCTTTCTCTCTCTAAAATATGAAGAAGGCACTTTCTCACTCTTGGGCTCTCTCCTCTCTCTTCCTTTCAGCTCTCCTTTTAAACAGAGATCGTGCTCAGTTCACGGCCTCACTTCACGGCCGTGAACTCTTGAACGCGTCTGTAAACTCAAAGTTGGCGTCAAAACGCACCGCTTTGCTTGCACAGGTTCACGGGCAACTGTTTCAGTTCACGGTCTTAGTGACCATGAACTCGTCTAGCGTCAGTAACTTCTAGAAATTCCCTAGATGCCTCGATGTTCACGGGAAACGGCTCCTCGATCTTCACGGTCTTAACAGTCCATGAACTTCCAAGGGAAATCGTGAACTGACGGTTTTTCACCTCTTCTCCCGGTTTTCACTTCTTTTTGTCCAACTGTCGACTCCGGGGCTGGTTTTACGTGTTAGATCCTGAAACATGCTATAACAAAAGAAACCTAGCGTAAAACCACCCTTTTAGGAGCACAATTGCCACAAACACCTAAGGAAAAACGAGGTTAAAATATGTACAATTAGGCCCGGATCACCTGGAGGTGGCTCCATGTAAATTGTTTCCCTCAAATCACCGTGAAGAAAGGAATTCTTCACATCAAACTATATTACTGGCCATTCGCGCATCGCTACAATTTCAAAAAGA